CAATATACTTTTATCTTTGTCCCTTCTCTATCTTTGTTTTGTACTCTCATATATATATCTAGGGGTGTTCATGGTTTGGATAAAAACCGATCCAAACCGAAAAACCAAACCAAACCGATTCAATGAATCGATTTAATTTGGGTTTTGGTTTGGTTTGGTTTTAGATTGTTAAGAACCGATAGTATTTGGTTTGGTTATGGCTTTGTTTGAAAAAAATCGAAGAAATAACCGAACCAACAAGTTATATACATAAATTTTATTATTATACATACATAATATATTATATTCATAAACAATTTTAAAGATTTTATATATGTTTCATCAAAATTTATTTATAATTTACTTATGAAAGAAAAAATGTCCAAGGTGAGAACATTTTTCTTATTGGTTTCATGTATATGAGTGTCTATGGAAATTCTTTGTGGGACTGAAAATGTCATTGTCTCTTCCTTCTATGTCAAAATAGTGGACTTTGAAGTTTTATTCAGTAAATTCAATGATCGAAAGTTCTGTAATGCCAGTCATTCTAACTATTATTTTTGTTTGAATGGATTGTTGTCTACTTTTTTTACGTTTTGAATGAATTGTTCCTTTTATTTTATGTATGGTTAATAACCGAAACCAAACCAAACCAAAACCGAAAACAACCAAACCGATAAATGTATATTATATTTGATTTGGTTTGGTTTTGATAATTTAAACCGATTAAGTTGGTTTGGTTTTGATTTTAACCAATAACCGACCCAAACCAAACCGTGAACACCCCTATATATAACCATGCCTAGAAACCAAACCAATGTTCTTTTCTTTTCTTTTCTCTCTGTTGATTCGGTTTTTTCACCGGTGAAAATGAACTTTAATTTGTTGATGAAATTGGCAAATCATGAAACTTCCCGGCTAGGTAATGATCGCCGATTTTTCTCATGAAGGGATAATTTGGAGCAGTGAATAAATTTGGTAATATGTAAATGTGACTTTTAAGTGGGGATTTTGAAATTTAGTTCATGTATTAACGTATTAAGATGGAGAAAAGTGTGACTGTGAGATCCGGGGGTGTACTGAAGAAGAAAAGCTCTTCTGGGTCCGAGTCATTGAAATGGGTAATTAGGTTAGTGGGACAAGTTTGATGGATTTTTATTTTCCACCTATATAAATTAAAATGGGTAAAAAAATGACATGGAGGTCTATTAGATTTTAAAGGTAGAGACGGTCCAATTTATTAACGGCAAGGGCATAATTGGACCACATGCAAATGGTGGGTAAAATTGTGACCCATTTTCGATAGTTGAGGGGAGATTTTGGCCCTTTTCATCTTTCAAAGATGACACCTTCTTGCTTTACATTTGGCATCGTCAAACAGGGACTAGGTTGGCACCTTTTAACATGTGATAAAGGTTTGTTGAAGATATCATTAAGTAAATAAAAGTGTGTTCTCTCTAACAAAACTTAAGCTTTTAGATGATATAGATGGTCACAAACTTCAACATGGTTTTAGAGATAGAGTGAAAAAATATCACCATGTACCAGCTACATCTGCCAAGAAAATCTTATCCTCGTGCAATTTCCGAGCAACTTAAGGGTTGTTAGCATCAAAAACGTTTTCGTCAGTATTGTGCAAAAACCAACACCACTCCAGGTTCCTCAGCCTGCGGCGACCTAACTCCAAAAATAAGCTTCGCCAAATATGGAAACACCATCGTATGTGTTGTCACGCACAATTGGCAATTTCGAATCCTGTGATACGTTAGTCTCACACGTCGGTGAGTAAATCCTTTTCAAACCACTTCTAGTCCTTACTCCTTAGGGTTCGCTAGTCTATTTTGAGACCACCCATCTAAATTCCTTCAATTTCCGACCACCGAGGTAGGGTTCCAGCGTTACAAACTTGTTTTCGGCCAGATCTCTCTTCTCTGACATCTTTTCTGCGGATTTACGTTAGTGGAGACGCTTTAGACATTGCATCCCCCCGTTTAGTTTGCAAAATATTTGTTGATACTCGAGCAGTTCTCAAGTCATCTACCCGACGAGTTTTTCCAGCAACATCTGGAATTTACTTCCTGCCCAACCTTTTCGGCCATATTTGGTGGTTAGTTGTTTATTTTTGGTTAGAACTCTCTTCAATCCAACAATATGTAGCTTGATTTTGATGTTTCTTTTTTATGACTAGGAAAACCCGCAACCGCTACCCTTTGGATGCGCACAGGATGAAACCCTCGCTCCTATGCAATAGCTCACAAACCACATAGGAGAGGTAACCCGCACTAGGCAAGCCCGGTGCGACGAGCTCGACCCAGAAGACAAACCCCTTGCTTTCGATGGCAAGGGGTTTCGAACATGAGACCTCCAACATGGAAGTCCCAAGCCCAAACCACTGGGCCACCCCAAAAATACGCGATTCCGAAACTCAAAGAGTTTTGTGATTACTTTGGAACCCTTACTTGGAGGTTCTAACTAGGGGTTGGAAAATTAGCCTATGAATACATGAACCGGCCCAAGCTTGGGCAGGTTAATTACCTGCTCCACCCATTTATTAGCTCAAACATATCAACCTGCCCAATTCAACCCATCTAATTTGGGCTACATATAGCCTAAATTAATCCACAAGAAACCTTGACAAAATATTTTTAAGAAGACTTTTTTGTGACATATGTTAGATATGGCCATAATAAACGTTAAAAAGTTTGTAGTTTTATTTGAAAATGAAACAAAAAATTAAAACATGCTAATAGTTGGGTGGATCGGGCTATGACCCATCGTTTAGCCCATCTTGACTCAACCCATCTTATAGCCCCAGCGACCTCATTAACCGACACATTTATCAACTCTGCCTATTTTGACTCGTCTAAATCCAGCCCAACTCACCCATTAGTTCTAATTTGTTTGGGAGATACAGAACAACAGTAGCAGAATTGAATTATCTCATCTCCGTTACAACCTCATAATCTAATATCTACTTTTAAGTGAGTGAGAATCGTCATTTAGTTTCAAGATCCTAAGTAAGATGACTAGGATTGTGTTTATTTTTTATTTTTTTTTATAACCGAGAAATCCGCCTGTGACCCGCCCTTTGGACCAATCACAGCCTTCAAAATTCGGTGGATAATGGGCCTCCCCCTCTACCCTTCACTACTTAAATATCGGGATTCGCTTTGCATGGTGCAGTGAAATTAAAAGCGTGCCTAAGCACAAGAGCGAGGCGCAAATACACTTTGCTTCGCATGACCTAAGGCGAGGCTCATGTCAATAGGCCCTTCTAATTTTTTTATTTATTTTTAAAAAGGAACATCAGTTTAAAAAAAAGGGGTCCTTTTAAATTATTATAAAGTGTCTGTCCCAGTTCCCTAGACTACACTTAAGTAAGTCATAGAGTCTCTAAAAGACAAAAAAAATAATGAAGAACTATAAGAAGACGAGGAATTGAAGGCTTGAAGCACAAAAAAGAACAATCAGATTCTTCTTCCGCTGGCAGAACAAGCAGCAAGCAAATACAGGTATCTTCTTTCTCTTATTTCTTCTTACTTTTTACTGATTTCATAAATTGTTGATGCTAAACATTCAATATTTCATACTCCTTTTTATCTTTGTAGAAAATTTAAAAATAAATGGGAATATGGGACACTTGTCCTTGTTTAATGACTGATGGTGTCTTAACTATAATAATGATCAATGAAAATTTAATACTTGTAAGAGGATAATAACAAAGATAATTTTCTTAGAAGCCATATAGCCATAGTGGTGGACCCCATATATATGTAGTTGTCTTTCATTATTTGCTGTGTTATAATTGCATGCAAAGTTCTTTTATACTTTTTTTGTTGCAGCTTAAAAATAACAAAGAACTTGTCCAGTGTCCCCTTTTTTTGTTCTTGTTGTGTATTATTATTTATTATTTAGAAATTATAACTGCTATATTATAACCTTCTTCTTTTTTTCCAGAAGTAGAAATGGTAGAGGACTTGTGTAAAGGCAATAGAAGGGATCCTGGTTGGAAATATAACTACTTGAAGGACCCTGATGACACTACAAGAGTCACGTGCAACTTTTGTGGAAAAACAACCACGGGTGGAATTAATCGGGCAAAACAACATTTGATCGGAAACTTTAGAAATGCAGCAAAGTGTAAAAAATGCCCAGAGGAGGTTAGAGAGGAACTGAAAAATTACATGGAGGAGACAAAAAAAAGAAGAAGGAAATCTATACTAACGAGTTTCCTGAATTTGATGAGTTTGAATATCAAGACAATGTTGGTGGAGAAGATGAAGTCCAAGAGATCAATCATAAGAAAAGAGGCGGCGGAAGCTTTCCTAGTGGCTCTAATAAGAAACTGGCCAAAGGAAAGGGACCTATGGATGTATTTCTACAAAAGCGTGGAACACTTGGGCAAACAAATATCAATGACTCATGTGATAAAGAAGCAAGATCAATGACGATTCAAAAAGTAGCTCGCTTCTTTTATGATAATGGGATCCCATTCAATGTAGCTCGCTCAAAAAGTTTTAAGGAAGCAATTGAGGCTGTAGGAAGGTATGGTCCAAACTTGAAGCCTCCAAGCTACCATGAATTAAGAGTTCCATTACTTAGGAAGGAAGTTGAGTTGACCAATGAGATTATAAACAGACATAGAGAAGAATGGGTGAAGTATGGAACTTCCATTATGGCAGATGGTTGGACAGATAAAAAACAGAGAACTTTGATAAACTTTTTGGTGAATTCTCCACATGGAACAGTGTTTATTGAGTCGATAGATGCTTCCTCACTTGTTAAGACCGGAGAGAAGTTATGTGAATTGCAAGATAGATACGTGGAACGCGTTGGAGAACAGAATGTGGTTCAAATTGTAAGTGATAATGGTAGCAACTTTGTGTTGGCTGGTAAGAATCTATTGCTTTAAAAATTTAAGTTTTATGTTTTACTTTCTAATATCGATCAAAGTTTTGATTTCTAAATTTTAACATATCTATTTACCCTTTTTTCTATAGGTCAACTGTTACAGAGAAAAAAAGCACACATATTTTGGACGCCATGTGCAGCTCATTGTATAGATCTTATGTTAGAAGACATAGGGAAGATTCCTATCATCAAGAAGACCCTCCAAAAAGCAATTGCCCTTGTCGGTTTCATTTATAGACACTCAGGAGTCTTAAATATGATGAGAGATTTCACTAAGAATAAAGAGTTGGTGAAATGTGGGATTACTCTATTTGCAACGAGTTTTCTGACTTTGCAACGGTTGCATTGTCAAAAAACAAATCTGCGAGCAATGTTTACATCTGACAAATGGGTGATTAGTAGGTGGGCTAAGTTACCAAGGGGGGAAAGTGCAACACATACTGTCTTGACGGCAACATTCTAGAGTCAGGTTTCTAATATTTTGAAGATAATGGGGCCTCTTGTTAAAGTGTTGCAATTAGCTGATAATGAGAAAAAACCTGCCATGGGGTACATTTATGAAGCCATGGATAGAGCTAAGGAGGCTATTGCAAAGGCATTTGAAGGGAATACTGCAAAATATAAAGATATCTTTAAGATTATTGATGAAAGATGGCAATGCCAATTGCATTATCCATTACATGCTGCTGGACATTATTTAAATCCAGAGTTCTTTCAAAATCCAGCTATTGAGAATTGTCAAGAAGTAACAGATGGGCTGTATCCTTGTATTGAAAAATTGGTTCCAAGTACTGAAGTACAAGACAAGATCATATCAGAGATATCATTGTACACAAGAGCTGAACAACAATTTGGCCTTCCTATTGCAAAAAGAGCTAGAACGAAAAGATCTCCTGGTAAGTGAATACAATAACATTTAAATTCTTAATTATTTAGTTTATGTTTAAAAGTTTACTTAATACTTCTTACTTAGTACTTGGGTAATAACTTATACATAATGATGTCTACATAACACTTTTTACAGTTGAATGGAATTTATATGGTAATTCAGCTCCCAATCTCCAAAAATTAGCCATTAGAATTTTGGGTTTAACGGCTAGTTCTGCTGGATGTGAGCGTAACTAGAGTGTGTTTGAGCATGTAAGTACTAAGTACTCGTAGTGGTATACATCATATTTATTAATTTTTCTTTGCATAGTTAATCAATTAGACTAATTTACTAACACTAACCAATGCAACAGATCCATACCAAAAAAAGAAACAGATTGGAGCATCAAAGATTGAATGATCTAGTGTTTGTTAAGTATAATCGTGCTTTAAAAGCTCGTTATGACTTGCGGAGTGTCATTGATCCAATCTCGTTGGATAACATTGATCATAGTAATGAATGGTTGGTTGGGAAGATGGGTAAAGTTTGGTGATGACAACTTAACTTGGGGTGATGAGCGTCGGGCATTGAGGATGTGTTGACATACACAAGGCGACAAAAGAGAGTCGGAAGTTATTACAACTAATGCCTCAAGCTCCCGAGCTCCACGTGTTGACATAGAAGATGAGTTGATTCAGATGAGTAGGGGAAGAAGAGATTGAAGGCTACAAATCTAGTGATACTGATACCAATGAGAATCCCTATTGAGGAAGATGATATGGAAGAATATTATTTTAGTGATTAGAAGTAGAATATATAAGCAACGTATGTTTTGATGAACCAATCTTCATTATAAGCACTACATATTTACTCTCTCTCTCTCTCTCTCTCTCTATATATATATATATATTTTAAAAATTCTTCATAGTGCGCTTTTTTTTAGTGAAGCCCACGCTTTTAGTGCGCTTTGCGCTTTAAGCTCCATCAGGGCTTTAGCGCTTTTTTGCGCTTTTCGCTTTTGACAATACTGGCATGGTGTGGGACTAGGATTGTGTTATACTCAAGGTCTATTTAATAACATGATATAAAAGCAAACATAGGTTCTAGGCTCTAGTCTCACCACCATTCATTATCAAAATAAAAAATCATGTTTTTGACTCATTAAAATGGAATCAAGCCTACAGGTGAGGGGCATGGGGAAGATACAAAGGTGCTCTCTACCGGTTTAAAATTTTACATGAGATGGTCACACACATCAACACCACCCATGATTTATTTTCCCCTTTCAAATAGATAAAGCACAATGCTACTACCATGTCAATTCACTACAGCTGCATGATAGGACTCTAAAGCATACCGGGATGACATGAGATGTGGTAAATCCTGAGGTGATTGCAAGGCCTGTATCATTGCAAATTCCAAGCTGTTGGTTGTATTTGTAGCTGAATGCAGCATCTACACCGAATGCTGCAAGAAAGAAAAAAATGCCTACCATGAGCAACAAGTTCACATAAATGCCACAGAAAGTCATGTTCTCAATTATCAAATCAACAAACTGTTGTTTGGTGAGAAGTGAACCAAGTAACTATTGTCATCAATGAAAGAACTTTCAACAAGGTCATGATAAAACAAAGCAACCTTAGTCTTATCATGATCAAGATGAGATGCCTTAGTCTTTTGTTTTTTTGGTGTAAGCAAGATTTAGTGGGGGAAGTAGATAGTTTAGTGGAGTTTATAGGACAATTGTAAATTTTTGAAAATTTGGTTTTGGATTTGAAAATGATGGCACCCCCTGGGGGTTTGTAAATCCCTCCTCATCAATTTCTTGATGAGGTCTTTTGTGTGAATACAAAGTTACCTATTTCAAAAAAAAATAAAACAAAGCAACCTTAGGTTTAGGATGATAAAAAAGATGACATGATTACAGGAACACCATACGACTTTATGAACAAAAATCCAAAGCAATACACAACAGCCCTGGGCAACTGATATGGGTGTTCATACCTACTGAAGGAACTCCATATGACTCAAAGAGAAGCTCAGCCATTTTGCCACGAGATTGAACTGGATTGCAAGCACATTCAGTAATTAAGATAGGATGGTCAATCTGCCCTGCCACCGATTTGAATAAGTATTGGTTTAAGGGACTGCAAGCTGAAGTTTATCAACAGGATATATACAACAAAAATTAAATGCACAAAATCAGGGTTTGCCTTTCACCATATTTTAAATATCTTAGCTTTGCCAGTCCAAATTATTTTGTTCTCAATAAAGATAATGGTTCTTATGATATAATAGGGAAACTGAGGATGTATACTTGGAGAATTCTACACAAGGATAGGGTTCTGCAGAAAGAGCATCTAGGCAGCTGACTGGATTATCATATGTGCTCCATAACTTCACAATGTAAAAAGAAAAATGTTTCATTCATGTCTACAAAAAAAAATTCAACACTCTTGCACAATTTTATTCCCCTCTCTATATATTGTCTACATAAGTGACAGTAGCAAATCTCTGACTGTCCGTCACATCACCCACTGAACCCCAAATATACATGCTTTGCACCATAATCGATGCCATAATAATCAGTTTGGAAGTGAAAAGATGGATCGTAGGGAAAATAACTTGAGTAGTGGTATCTCTGTGCATATATGGTATAATGTGTTCGCCTTATGAGAAACAAAGGTATGCAAACTGAAGTGCATCTCTTCATTTATGCATTTGCAATGCAATCGCGACAATATATCATCACCCAATTGTTTAAGGCCATGACTTCGAAAAACCTATATATAGAGGCACATCAATTGACACGGAATATCTTACAAAAGGGGAAAAAAGAGAGATGAGAAAAGAGGATAATGTCGGAGATTCCCCTTTCCAAAAATAGTACATACCATACAACTTACTTGTGTAAAGTATAAATATTGATGTCGTTAAGGTCAGACAACTTTTACCATAAATATTTTTCTGCCAATTTTAACGAGTTTATGAGGTCTCTTTTTTATTCTGACATATATGTAAAACTATAAGGACCTTATATGATGCTTGCTTAGTCCATGTTTCTTCAATTTCTTTTCTGTGTAAGCATATCAATTTGCATCCTGTTTATGCTTCCTAGAAACTACAGTTGGATAAAAATTACGAGGTAAAGATAAAAGATAAAAAAGAAGACAAAATAATTTGACAATTGACAATGATCATCAAACCTCAAAGACCAACAAAGACAGTTTATATCAGAGAGAAGCCATAGTCAAAGCAAAGGCCACAACAATGATTTCAAAGTTTCTCTCGAAAAAGTAAGAACCAAAAGATTCTAAATAAACCAAGTTGAATATAGTTACATCAGATCTATCTCATCCTACAAAAAAGTTGGATGGAAGCTAGCATACCTGTGACTGATCAGCACCTAATCGATCAAACCCAAAGTCCAGGATCTACATACGGAAAACATAATGGTGACATGAGTACCTTTTCAAAAAACATAACGGCAACATGATTAATGCACACAAGACAAAGTAATCCGTAACCATCATTTGTTTCATATGTCAGACTCAGGTTAGCAACATAGCATCACATAAACCAAATTTATGCATCCAACTATCTACACCAAGAACACCACGTATGGCATCAGTGCCAGCAAAAAGTAGGGAATGAATCATTATTGAAAAGTGTTGCGCTACAATAGGGCGCGCATTAATATTCTAGTCAGATTGCACTGTCTTGACACTCTAAAATTAGATCATGAATTTGCCTTGCCACCTTGGCCTAACATCCCAAAGAGGTTACAGTTAAAATCCAAAGAGGGTGTTCTCTCTTGATAAATAGGAACGGGTCATAGAACACAGTAGTTAGACCTAATGTCTAGATAAATTGTCAGCTATCCTGATAGTTTCATGCTCTGGTAGATGGTTTGATCTTTCTATCTTTATTTCAGGGGAGGGGGTTCGGGTATAAAATTTATTGACATCACAAATTTCATGGTCAAGCTTACAAACATAGAAAAACCATTTACCCAAATACTATCCCCACAAAATAGAAAACCCTTACATATTCCATTATCTCAAACTGATAAACAACATTGCTCTCAAATGCTGAACGAGGTCCTGAACGCGTGCAATCAAAGTACTTCAGTAGCGCAGGATTGTGATCACCAACAACTGTTACTGTTTCACCTGCAATATGATAAGGTAAGCATAATAAAACTCTGAAGCTAATATTCACCAATGAAATGATGATGTATTATATGCATTCAATATTTAAAAACATGTTCATGGTAGGTGATGTTTAGTAAGAAGTCATTTTGATCATTTCTTCACCAAACATCACTACAGACTGTTCATTGGGAACTTTTTTTCCCCTGAAAACAGTTCTGTCCAGGCCAGTTTGCACGCACCTCGACTATTTAATAATATCTACATAGGGGTTGTTTAGCACGAAATAATTTAGATCATTTCTTCACCAAACACTTCACTATAATCTGATCATCTTAGAACTTTTTTTTTTAATAAGATTGAGTTCAGATCAGGTCGCTCGCACCTCAATAAATCTACCAAGTGCTTGTTAGTTGTTACCTCCCATTGGCACAGGTATGGAGTAACTCTATCCACCAAGACTTATACAAATGGGAAGAAATCACCTAACTGTTTTTTTTCTACAAGGATTTGAACCTTGGTCTCCTTTGGTGCATTTAAACTTCATTGACCTTAATGTCATACCCTTGTGTACTTCATTATGGAATATTATTAATCATAATTGGATAATTAAGCACTAGTCAAATTAGAAACTTACAGTAAACTCACCATCCAAACTGGTCCTGACATTGCTTCCAAATGAGTTATCATTTTTAAATCAACTACCAAAGGATCAATTAGTTACACGATCAGTAAAAGTTTGATGATTAGCCAAACCAGCCTTTAGTATCAATTCTATCCTTCATGTGCGGAAGAGAAATCCATCACAGAGGATAATATAACCACCCTAATGACTCAACCTAATGTTCCAGTTATGCAGAATGGAGAGTACTTTAGACATCCTGTTTGAATTGAACTGCACTCAATGAAGCAACTCTAACTCAAGACAACCTGATTAGAAGATCCATTTGCATAGTTAATAGATGCTACATGTGTCAGAAGGATATAGAGATTTAAACACCTCTTTTTTTATAAAGACATTGTACAATAACAGCAGATAGTTGGAACATGTTTATCTTCTTTTGGACTCATCTGGGTTATGCCAGGTGGTATCAAGGATGCACATGTGAGCTGGAGCACTTGGCAAATTTAGTTTTGAGAAAAAAATAGTTAAAACACTAATTAGCAATCTGAACCAGTTTTGAATCCAACCCAGCCAAAATAGACCCAATAGCTGACCCGACCAATTCATTTTTATCCTAAAGAAGCCCAAGTGCTCATATTTTCATTCACTGGTGGTTTATCACATTTCATATGTTATATGTTGTTTTGATCGATACTAACTTACTAAGTGAATGTAATGTTATTTTTTTATGTGAAATTTGAGAAGTGAATGGTAACTAGCT